AGTTTGCTCAGGAGGCCGACAATGAATAAAATATGAATGCTGGAAATATGCCCCACGCACTTGGCACCACTTGGTGGTGCCACTACAGCCCCATTCTGAGAGTGGCAAATGATAGTCCTAGGCCCCCTCTACCTTGCCCCAATAATCATTTGATGAACACTTCAAGGATAAGGCGTATAATAGTTGCCCTTTTCCCGTTTCCCAATGTACAATGATGAAAAACCTCAAAGTTCAGGTTAGCTAACTGGACCCTTCCAGTCCCTAGGACCCTGCAGAAATCTGTCAAGGGATACCCCCTAAGGCCCCCTAACTACCCCCAGTGTTAGTTTGCTCAGGAGGCCGACAATGAATAAAATATGAATGCTGGAAATATGCCCCACGCACTTGGCACCACTTGGTGGTGCCACTACAGCCCCATTCTGAGAGTGGCAAATGATAGTCCTAGGCCCCCTCTACCTTGCCCCAATAATCATTTGATGAACACTTCAAGGATAAGGCGTATAATAGTTGCCCTTTTCCCGTTTCCCAATGTACAATGATGAAAAACCTCAAAGTTCAGGTTAGCTAACTGGACCCTTCCAGTCCCTAGGACCCTGCAGAAATCTGTCAAGGGATACCCCCTAAGGCCCCCTAACTACCCCCAGTGTTAGTTTGCTCAGGAGGCCGACAATGAATAAAATATGAATGCTGGAAATATGCCCCACGCACTTGGCACCACTTGGTGGTGCCACTACAGCCCCATTCTGAGAGTGGCAAATGATAGTCCTAGGCCCCCTCTACCTTGCCCCAATAATCATTTGATGAACACTTCAAGGATAAGGCGTATAATAGTTGCCCTTTTCCCGTTTCCCAATGTACAATGATGAAAAACCTCAAAGTTCAGGTTAGCTAACTGGACCCTTCCAGTCCCTAGGACCCTGCAGAAATCTGTCAAGGGATACCCCCTAAGGCCCCCTAACTACCCCCAGTGTTAGTTTGCTCAGGAGGCCGACAATGAATAAAATATGAATGCTGGAAATATGCCCCACGCACTTGGCACCACTTGGTGGTGCCACTACAGCCCCATTCTGAGAGTGGCAAATGATAGTCCTAGGCCCCCTCTACCTTGCCCCAATAATCATTTGATGAACACTTCAAGGATAAGGCGTATAATAGTTGCCCTTTTCCCGTTTCCCAATGTACAATGATGAAAAACCTCAAAGTTCAGGTTAGCTAACTGGACCCTTCCAGTCCCTAGGACCCTGCAGAAATCTGTCAAGGGATACCCCCTAAGGCCCCCTAACTACCCCCAGTGTTAGTTTGCTCAGGAGGCCGACAATGAATAAAATATGAATGCTGGAAATATGCCCCACGCACTTGGCACCACTTGGTGGTGCCACTACAGCCCCATTCTGAGAGTGGCAAATGATAGTCCTAGGCCCCCTCTACCTTGCCCCAATAATCATTTGATGAACACTTCAAGGATAAGGCGTATAATAGTTGCCCTTTTCCCGTTTCCCAATGTACAATGATGAAAAACCTCAAAGTTCAGGTTAGCTAACTGGACCCTTCCAGTCCCTAGGACCCTGCAGAAATCTGTCAAGGGATACCCCCTAAGGCCCCCTAACTACCCCCAGTGTTAGTTTGCTCAGGAGGCCGACAATGAATAAAATATGAATGCTGGAAATATGCCCCACGCACTTGGCACCACTTGGTGGTGCCACTACAGCCCCATTCTGAGAGTGGCAAATGATAGTCCTAGGCCCCCTCTACCTTGCCCCAATAATCATTTGATGAACACTTCAAGGATAAGGCGTATAATAGTTGCCCTTTTCCCGTTTCCCAATGTACAATGATGAAAAACCTCAAAGTTCAGGTTAGCTAACTGGACCCTTCCAGTCCCTAGGACCCTGCAGAAATCTGTCAAGGGATACCCCCTAAGGCCCCCTAACTACCCCCAGTGTTAGTTTGCTCAGGAGGCCGACAATGAATAAAATATGAATGCTGGAAATATGCCCCACGCACTTGGCACCACTTGGTGGTGCCACTACAGCCCCATTCTGAGAGTGGCAAATGATAGTCCTAGGCCCCCTCTACCTTGCCCCAATAATCATTCGATGAACACTTCAAGGATAAGGCGTATAATAGCTGCCCTTTTCCCGTTTCCCAATCTAGAATGATGAAAAACCTCAAAGTTCAGGTTAGCTAACTGGACCCTTCCAGCCCTAGGACCCTGCAGAAATCTGTCAAGGGATACCCCCTAAGGCCCCCTAACTACCCCCAGTGTTAGTTTGCTCAGGAGGCCGACAATGAATAAAATATGAATGCTGGAAATATGCCCCACGCACTTGGCACCACTTGGTGGTGCCACTACAGCCCCATTCTGAGAGTGGCAAATGATAGTCCTAGGCCCCCTCTACCTTGCCCCAATAATCATTTGATGAACACTTCAAGGATAAGGCGTATAATAGTTGCCCTTTTCCCGTTTCCCAATGTACAATGATGAAAAACCTCAAAGTTCAGGTTAGCTAACTGGACCCTTCCAGTCCCTAGGACCCTGCAGAAATCTGTCAAGGGATACCCCCTAAGGCCCCCTAACTACCCCCAGTGTTAGTTTGCTCAGGAGGCCGACAATGAATAAAATATGAATGCTGGAAATATGCCCCACGCACTTGGCACCACTTGGTGGTGCCACTACAGCCCCATTCTGAGAGTGGCAAATGATAGTCCTAGGCCCCCTCTACCTTGCCCCAATAATCATTTGATGAACACTTCAAGGATAAGGCGTATAATAGTTGCCCTTTTCCCGTTTCCCAATGTACAATGATGAAAAACCTCAAAGTTCAGGTTAGCTAACTGGACCCTTCCAGTCCCTAGGACCCTGCAGAAATCTGTCAAGGGATACCCCCTAAGGCCCCCTAACTACCCCCAGTGTTAGTTTGCTCAGGAGGCCGACAATGAATAAAATATGAATGCTGGAAATATGCCCCACGCACTTGGCACCACTTGGTGGTGCCACTACAGCCCCATTCTGAGAGTGGCAAATGATAGTCCTAGGCCCCCTCTACCTTGCCCCATTAGTTATTTGGTGAACACTTCAAGGATAAGGCGTATAATCGTTGCCCTTTTCCCGTTTCCCAATGTACAATGATGAAAAACCTCAAAGTTCAGGTTAGCTAACTGGACCCTTCCAGTCCCTAGGACCCTGCAGAAATCTGTCAAGGGATACCCCCTAAGGCCCCCTAACTACCCCCAGTGTTAGTTTGCTCAGGAGGCCGACAATGAATAAAATATGAATGCTGGAAATATGCCCCACGCACTTGGCACCACTTGGTGGTGCCACTACAGCCCCATTCTGAGAGTGGCAAATGATAGTCCTAGGCCCCCTCTACCTTGCCCCAATAATCATTTGATGAACACTTCAAGGATAAGGCGTATAATCGTTGCCCTTTTCCCGTTTCCCAATGTACAATGATGAAAAACCTCAAAGTTCAGGTTAGCTAACTGGACCCTTCCAGTCCCTAGGACCCTGCAGAAATCTGTCAAGGGATACCCCCTAAGGCCCCCTAACTACCCCCAGTGTTAGTTTGCTCAGGAGGCCGACAATGAATAAAATATGAATGCTGGAAATATGCCCCACGCACTTGGCACCACTTGGTGGTGCCACTACAGCCCCATTCTGAGAGTGGCAAATGATAGTCCTAGGCCCCCTCTACCTTGCCCCAATAATTATTTGATGAACACTTCAAGGATAAGGCGTATAATAGTTGCCCTTTTCCCGTTTCCCAATGTACAATGATGAAAAACCTCAAAGTTCAGGTTAGCTAACTGGACCCTTCCAGTCCCTAGGACCCTGCAGAAATCTGTCAAGGGATACCCCCTAAGGCCCCCTAACTACCCCCAGTGTTAGTTTGCTCAGGAGGCCGACAATGAATAAAATATGAATGCTGGAAATATGCCCCACGCACTTGGCACCACTTGGTGGTGCCACTACAGCCCCATTCTGAGAGTGGCAAATGATAGTCCTAGGCCCCCTCTACCTTGCCCCAATAGTCATTTGATGAACACTTCAAGGATAAGGCGTATAATCGTTGCCCTTTTCCCGTTTCCCAATGTACAATGATGAAAAACCTCAAAGTTCAGGTTAGCTAACTGGACCCTTCCAGTCCCTAGGACCCTGCAGAAATCTGTCAAGGGATACCCCCTAAGGCCCCCTAACTACCCCCAGTGTTAGTTTGCTCAGGAGGCCGACAATGAATAAAATATGAATGCTGGAAATATGCCCCACGCACTTGGCACCACTTGGTGGTGCCACTACAGCCCCATTCTGAGAGTGGCAAATGATAGTCCTAGGCCCCCTCTACCTTGCCCCAATAATCATTTGATGAACACTTCAAGGATAAGGCGTATAATAGTTGCCCTTTTCCCGTTTCCCAATGTACAATGATGAAAAACCTCAAAGTTCAGGTTAGCTAACTGGACCCTTCCAGTCCCTAGGACCCTGCAGAAATCTGTCAAGGGATACCCCCTAAGGCCCCCTAACTACCCCCAGTGTTAGTTTGCTCAGGAGGCCGACAATGAATAAAATATGAATGCTGGAAATATGCCCCACGCACTTGGCACCACTTGGTGGTGCCACTACAGCCCCATTCTGAGAGTGGCAAATGATAGTCCTAGGCCCCCTCTACCTTGCCCCATTAGTTATTTGGTGAACACTTCAAAGATTAGGCGTGTAATAGCTGATCTTTAATGGCGTTTTTGGGATAAAATGCAAAACAGCCAAAGTTCAGAGTAGATAACTGGCCCTTTCCGGTCACTGGGACCTTTTGAAGCGTTGACAAGGGATTCTCCCTAAGACCCATAACTTAATCACCAATAATTGATGACGAATAATTGCTTGGAAGATGACCAATGCACTTGGCACCACCTGGTGGTATCACTAAAGCCCCTTCTGATAGCAGGAAATAATCATTCTTGGGCCTTTCTATCTTGCCCTAGTAATGTTGATCATTTTATAAATCATGGGTATAATACCTGCCTGTAATATAGAAAATGCTTTTGGAACCACTTGCTGGCACCACCACCACTTATTACTGATAGTGGTAATTTACAGTCTTATAGATTCATTAAGTTGTCCCAGTAATAATGTTCAAAACATACTTCAACCTAGTTTACACTTGTGCCATATTTCTGTTTACAATCGTTATATATTAATCAAATTTCAGGTTAGCTTATTGGCCCTGTCATATTCTTGTGGTCCCTGAAGGAGTTGAAAAGGAATTCTTCCTGAAGGAGTTAACCATTTCCTAGTGCTTGTTTGTTCAATTGGATAAAAATTATAAAGTAATTTATTTCTTATTTTTCGGTTTTAAAAATGAAAAAAAAATTGTTCAGGTGAGCCTCACTGCCTCTGAGTATCTGATTTATTATGTAATTAATTGTTGCATTAATTTTCTAATCATTAACCATTAATTATCTAAAATAACATATTAAAAACAGTACTGCGTCTGAGTACTCTCAGTTCTTTGATGAATTTCCTTATTGGCTGCTAGCTTCTACGCGCTTAGTGGCTGCTGTTATTGGCTGCTAGCTTCAGCCTGGTGTACATGTATCATGTTTTCTGTAAATGGTTCTACGTGTATTGTATTAAAGAAAAAAATAACTTGTTCTGTCCATGTAAATCAACTAATAGAGGAAACTGATTCATGGCTGACTTTTAAGGATAGCTTTGTATGAAATATGTACCTGTGAAGATTTGTACACGTATATGTATTTCCATTTGTGAAGAATAGTGACCATTTCAAAAAATAGTTCTTTGGAAAATGAAAAATGTCATATAAAATGATAAAATGAAGATAAGATAAGTACAGTGTAGTCCTGAAAGAATGCAAGTTTAAAATTTCCCTCCCTGAACCCCCACTGATCTCTAGATCAACTACTTTTTTTTCAGTGACTTAGACGAGAAATACAGCAGAAAGAGGGACCGATACAGTGGAGGGGGAGGGCTGACACAGGACTTCAAGGAGAAAGAGGGATATAAACCGGACGTCAAACTGGAATACGTGGATGACGGGGGGCATCTGCTAAATCAGAAGGAGGCCTTCAGACAGCTGTCTCACAGGTTCCACGGGAAAGGCTCCGGCAAAAAGAAAACAGAAAAACGAACTAAAAAACTACAGGAGGAACAGGTAATTTCCTATGGTTGTAGGAATTTTTATAATTAGGTGGTATACATATATATGTACGTGTTCATATAAATTTTACATGTTCATACAAATTTTAGTTGGATATGCTCACAAGAAGCATGATTCTACCAGAGTGACTAAATCGTACATCTATCTTCTATTTCGGAAAAACATTTTGCAAAAAGGACTAATACTTTCAAACTTCATTATCTTGAATATGAATAGATTGTTGGGGAGAACTTTGAGAGATTTGTTCATTCGTCTGAAGTTCTTAAGTTGACCCAAAATTAATAGGTTCAAGTAGGACTCTTCGGCAAATCCCTAGTGTTTAAAATACATAAAACATTCAAAATACTGAATGTCTGCTGTTATTGAAATTTCTTTTTATCTGGGTTTACAGTTGATGAAGCAGATGAGTTCCACAGACACGCCCCTTGGTACACTGAACATGCTTAAGGATAAGCAGAGAACAGAGAAGTCACCTTACATTGTCCTGTCTGGCTCCAAAGGTTTCTCATCGTAAGTACATGTATCTTTTCAAAGGAAAGATTTACTCTTTTGATTTGTAATTTGTTCATATTTAATAACATTCTATACATTTACAGACAAATTTTACATAGTAAAAAGGGGGATTCAAAATTGCAAATGAAATAAATGAATGAGTAAATTTTGTATCAATTTTGAAAAATTCATACCAGGGCTAGCTAGTTTTCAACAAGATATTTGCGTTGGTTTTTTTTTACATGGATAAATTCTGATTTACCAGTAGATGTAATTTCAAATTCTTTTTGCCCCTTGTTTTATTTTCAATCAAGATTTTTGCCTTCAATCTTAAATACTAAAAACCTGAAGTGAGTACTGTTGTCGAGTTCTTTTCATTGCTTATTTTCAGAAATTCCATCATTAAACCAAGTCAAACGTGAATCTGGGAGAATATTATGTGCATTTCCTAGACTTCGAATGCAGATAAAATATATGAAGGAGGTCAACTACAGACAGTAAACATCCCTTGAGCAGTCTGTGATTTATTGGCTCACTAAATCATTACATTACATTGCATCATGATTTTATTGGCTCTGACAGTAAATAATGACATTTACACTTGTACATTGCATCATTTTATCTTTGTTAGATTCAACAACTGTCAATAAAAACATGAAAACAGATTGAAGGCTTATCTTTTATATGTATAAACTTATCTACCATTGAGTATTTTTTGACTTGTAGAGTGTAGACCTTCAAGTTTAGTGTAGAGTATGTTATGATGTGAAAAAAATACTGTACCAGTAACAAATACTGGAAACTTCATTTTGAAAAAGCACAGATCTCCCAGCTACTCCCTGTTATATAAACCCACATGTAAAAAGTATGTTTAAGGAATTTATGCAGGACAATGTGTATCTTATATACCCCCATCCCCTCGCTTAAAAAGTGGGTTGGGTACCAGCAATATGGTTTGTCCTTTTGTCTTTAACACTAGGGAGTACCTATCTCATACTCAATTCCTATAATAATGAACAAAATTAAATGAGACTTTCACAGAATCTTTATTACATACAGAGTACCATTCTTCTTTTCCTGTCTTATGTTCTGTTGTGACATTTACTAGTATTAGGTTTCCCACAGCAAAAAAGGGACTTTGCCAATTATACACATCTAAGTCAGAGCAGGTATTGTGAGCCAAGTGTTTAGTACCTCTTTTTTTCAATCTTTCCCAGAGGCAGTATATTAAGTGCACACAGGATTCAAATAACAGGTAATAAAATGTTATCTTTAAGACTGGAAGAGCTTTCATTGTATATCTAACCATCATCTGATTTTGTGCTTAACTAGCATGTCTTCGCCTTTTTGGTCGGAACAGTCACTCATCTATAGTGCATAAACATTTCATATTTTGTGTGTATGTAACTTTAAAAGTTTTATATTGATATCCCCCAATTACTTCCATTTCTCAGAACTACTCTACCAATGTAATGTTAAATGTTCTGTATATTAAACAATATTCCTGGATTTTAATTATGACAATTCATGGATTTTCAAATATTTCCACTTTGCAGAAGTGTGCTTTCATTATATGCCTGGTTATAATTTATAGGATTTTTTTCATAATTGACATGTATAATAATTTGAAGTAAAACTCAATTGTCACAAAAACAGTTTTCTTAAGGGGGGACCTATGTCGTTCTACGTCAAAACAGCGTTATGTGACGTCACAATAGCGACGTTTCTTTTACCTGTTGACTTTTGCAGCTGTGATATAGGCATACCATTGTAATAATAATCAATAACGTACACCATTTACAAAAAGAAAATTTATTCATTATTAATACCAATTTTATTTGATTTATGAAATTTGTTAATATTAGAATTCTCTTCCTTTGGTTGATAATTCATAGCCATTTCAGTTGTGAAGAAATACTTCGATGATATGCTGATATATAAGTGCAAAAGATAAGAAAAAAATCAGCAAAAAAAGCGGCTTAAATCATGGAAATATGTTTAATTTTATGTTTACCATTAATTGTATTTTCTGGATAAAACTAAGAAAAATAAAAAAATGTACTTATACCTATATTTGCTTATTGATTTATAGTGAATGTAGATTTCACTGTATAAAGTCATTCCTATGTTCTAATAGGTGTTGGATGTTTACGGGATAATGAGGGGGGGGGATAATGATTGGAATGAAAAAAAAAAGAATTAATCTGTTTAAATTGTTTCTAATCAAAACAAAATACTCGTTTTTCGCAAAATATTTTCATATTAAGATGTTTGTCAGTGCTTACTTGCCCTTTTTTAGTGCAGAAAGGTCAATATTTATGGCACAAGAGTACGAAAATAAAAGAAAACGTCACATTTCTCGTTTGTTTTATCATAAAGGTATACTGTTTTCTTTGTTAAAATAAAGAGATGAATCATTTCTTTCAAAAAATATGAATTACAACATTTTCACACAAAGACTTTTTAAGATATTACCTGTTATGCATGTCGGAATTGTAAAAAATACGACAAGAAAAACGGGGTGATACTTACATTGTGCTCCATTATAATTTTTCATACTAGATGAATTACAAGAATTTGACTTCATTTTAAAGAAACAAGTCATATAAATTAAATACCTGTTGATTTTGATATGATTTGACATTTTTTGGCTCTTTTTAGCGCATATTTTGCGTAGAATTATAACAAATATTACATAACTGATAATGTCTGAAAATAATCTATTTTTAGCATTTCACACTGTTTTTGCACGTGCTCCTGTGTAAAAATAAGCATATAAAGGTATTGTTTTTAATAGCTAAAAATTAAGAGCATGTGGTCAGGAAAGAAATATCAAAGTTTTGAAAATTTCACACAAAGACTTTTCGGACATAGGTCCCCCCTTAAGACACCAAGCCTTTGCTTCATGAAAAGAGAAGATGACAATACTTTCATTTTTATTAACAATGATGAAATTTTCAATAAAAATTAAAAAATACATTTTTATAAAAAGTATTCTTTGTACAGAATGTCAAATTGCAATAGAAATAAAATTGGTGACAAATCAAATATGAATGAGCACTTTTCATTTCACAATATTTTACTTCTACGATTAACAAGTGCAAATAAACAATGTTATTTCACAGTAAAAAAATGTAAAAGAGGATTTTTAATCCTTCTCAAATTCTCCACTTTGAACTCGTACATTAAAAAAAACAAGGATTTATAATCAGTCCACTTGTCAATGCCCGAAAGTGTTTCTTCAAAATAGAATAAAATTTTTAAAACTCAGGCTTCCACACAGTCTCGAGGTCAATTCCCTGTCAACACTTGGAGGAATCACCATTGGATCAATGCACTTAAAAACTGGCTTATCCTGAGCCTATTCCAAATGATTTTGAGAATTCAGTATTATTGGGTCCATTTGCATGAAACTCGGAATATCATTTTGCAAATGCATCTGGAGGAATCTTGTTTTGTTTCTGAAAAGGGGAAATGAAACACCTTTACAATCCAAAAACCCATAAATACATTGTACATATGTAGATATACTGTAAACTCACTTATTTTAGCAGTAATCTTACTTTAAAATCTTTTGTGCTGCTAAATGTTTGCTTATTCATAAACATGGTAATATATGCACTATTTTCCAAACAAGATAAATTCAGCATGTGGGAATCAAAATTGACTACAAACTTAATTGGTGTGATTAGGCACAAATATTGTGTTGTTATTGTACCTGCAATTCCAGGAATATTTCTCCAGATTTCTCATAATTCCAACCATTTTGTTCGAGGCATCTGCAAAGAAAAAAAAATGACAATAAAATTTTGTTTTGTAATATACTGATGTAACATACATGTATATAAAAAGTTTTGGGAAATAGTCCTAACAACTGAATAATAAGCTTGATGCTCAATAAACAAAATCCTAATTGCAGTAAAAATAAATGGAAATTTTCAAAGAACAAAAAAAAGAAAATAGGTAGTATTTTTGGCACTTCCGAGAGGTTCCTTACAAATTTTATTGATTAGGACATAAACAACTTACTTGATGGACCATTCGTGGTTCATGCCTGACTGAGCAGCAAACTGTTGAATCATCTGCTGCTGCTCGGCTGTGTATGTGGAGGGGCCAGCCTGTGTGAACGGGGCTGGGGGTGATGCCTCAGGGACAGGGCTAGAAGAGGGGGTAGGGGCAGGGTGCTTAAAGGCTTTCTACAAACACAGACAAACAAAATCAAAGTAAAAATGCAGAATTTATTAAACAACTGTTTAAATCTTGTACTGTTTATTCACTGTGTTGTTTTACATTTTACATCCTATGAACTTGTGTGTATTTATTGTTTCAAATATACATTATGTTCATTTATGAATTCTGATGAACATGTATTACATGTGTCCTAAAAGTTAAATGACTAATACCTGTATTTGATCTCTGGAGGCATTTGTTATTGTCAGCATGTCATTGATGATATTCATTCTGAGAGAAAAAAAAAATGTGAGAACAGTTTAATAACTATAGAAGTATCAAATTCCTATAGCACCCTAAAGTATGTTCATTTCAATAGTCTTAGACCTTTCCACCTGTTTTGGATGTTTTAAAACAAATACTCTTAACAACGTAAGTTTTAAAATGAAACTTCAAAATGTATTCCTATATACAGCTGTAGAAGTGCTTTCTATTGATTGCTGAAATATGACTCCTACTAAAATATGTACAATTCCAGTGACTGTTCCCACAAATATGTACCTATATGTTTGGTTTCAACAATTGTTTCATTCTCATCTGTTTTCAGTATGATTATACATACCCTGCCCCCTGTGGAACTGTAATAAACCGACGACTAAATGCTCTAATGGGAGGTCTATCCGACTTGCTTTCAGCTAAAAGAAAACAAAACTAGAATCCAATTTCAATTTTTCAAATCTAATTTCTCATCTGTTAATTAACAGGAACTAAATTGCATTTTTTTTTTAAATTCTAATTTCAGTTTAATTAAAAGCATTTTATCTTCAACACATCATGACATGACAACTTACTCTCTTTGAACACTCCTTCTACGACAAAACTTCTGAGGTTTGCCTGAAATGATAACATTCCACATTTAAGTAGTGATTTGAAGTATAGTTTCCTTCTACACTTGCTTACAAGAACTTAATAAGATGTGTTAAGGCATTGAAAATGTACAAGCATTTCTGATGAACCCTGAATATACATACATTTCCTTTAACACTTGTTTCCAATGTGTTTAAAATTTAAAATAATAACCTTAACAAATAACATGTATGTGGAGCTCTTAAACTGTCGAAATGAATCAGGATGGAGTTATATCTACACTAGGACTAAGACTTACAGAGGAGTGATCCACATCCACAATAAAGGAGTTGTAGTCATGAGTTGTAGAGGGGAGATCACACAACTGAGCCACAACATTAATCTTCCCTCTCTTTAATACTCTTCTCCTTGCTGAAAAAAAGATTATAACATTATAAGATTATAAGATTATAAAGGTTATAACAGTATGTACATGTAGATACTGTATGAAATTAATGAAAAAAATCAGAATATTCAATTCTATGCAGCTCAGGTGTAGAACAACATAGGTTAATAAGAAAGCATACCTTCCACTTATTGTTTGTTTTTCAAATAATTATATTAAGGGATTTTTTTTTCTTAATTTCAA